CACTACAGAAAAAGAGCTGCTGAATAAAAAGACTAGGTAGAAATGCAATCCTCCAATGTAAACCAGGGAGCTAACTGTTGAAAATACAGCCATCTATCAGAAACAGCCTGGCCACCAGAGTCAGCCTTAAAAAAAAGTCACTTAAAAAAAAAAAAAAAGGCTTCTTCATAGGTTCTTCATTGACAAAGGAAAAGGATAAATTCTAGCACATATCTAAGCATTATGCTGTTCTTATTATCCCTCTCAAGTGAATTTACAGGCCACCCTATATGGATAAATTGCTATTCTCCCTTCTTTTAGAGCTGGTCTCTGCTCACATGGTTATAAAACTGCCTCCAGCAAACCTGGCTATTGCCGTGCTTTTTTGGCAGCTGCAACTAGTAAAGGCAGTTGACCCTAACTGCCTGGACCTACAAGTTCTCACCTACCATGGGTGATTAAGGGCCCATGCCCCATCAGTTCTTCATCCCTCAAGTCAGCTGACATACCTATAGGAGCAACGCCTGTCTTTACATTCCTGGAGGGAAATCACAAATCCCATGCACGCAGGTCACAATTCTGGTTATCTATGGGAAAAGAATATGAAGGTCAAAGGAGCAACTCTGCTTCTAGAATTCACTCTGGTCAGTACAAAAAGCTTGAGAGCAAATGTACTCACAGCAACACAGCATTGCTTCAGGGGCTGTAAAATTCTCCTAAGTGGAGCAGGAGCATTAATTAGCAATACTATGCATCACTATGACTGCCAGCATACTACTACTGTTACTAAAAAAAAAAAAAAAAAAAAACCTCAAGTTCACCAGAATAGTAAATGAGGTAGTATGTTTAAAAACGTATTCCAAAAAGACTCACTAAAGAAGCAGACTTTTTAATTTTAATTTTCTGTAAACCTATATACTATCAACCAGTAGCTATCCCAATGATGCAGGAAAGCTAATAAATGGGGGTGAAACAAGGACTAAAGTGACTGAAAAAAAGGGATTTCAGAAGAGCTAAGTAAGTTTTGGGTCAGGACAAGATACAGATTTTTTCAAGTAACATAACCAGTAACATTTAGAAACAATCATAAAGACGAAAGTTTGAGAGTGCATGGTATTTCTTCCTTAGGGAAGAAAGTTAAAAAAAAAAAAAAGAGGTTAAAAATGCCATTTATTTTAATCTTTAAAGCATCCAAAGACAAAAAAAAACCCTCAATCTTCTCATTCTAATTGCATCAGATGTTTAAAAAAACAACCCAAAACTCAACAATTCAATACAAGACACAAAAATATGCCTGTGCACAGGCATGTAATAAAATTAACACTAAATATGCACTAGTCAGTCATCTCAGCAGAAAGTAATAGTGACAGCATCTGCAGACTTAAGCATGGACTCTTCATAAATACTACTGTAAATTTGGTGTTTTGTGGGCTCTACTGCATCTAGACCTATTTACTTGATCAAGAGGAAAGCACACCGGCGTGGCAATGTAATGAAGTTTGTTCTACCTGTACCACATACATAATATACAGCTGTGCTCTCATCTTTAGTCTTCTCTCCCATACGTGTGCCGGTTAGAACAATCAGGATGTGGCTACAGGAGTACCTATGTATATTGACACATAGATACCATGTGTCCTACCATGGAGAAAAAGGTGACACCAGCCAGCAAAGCAGGGAACCAGTCCGACTACTTTCTTAAGGTACTCAATTGTCAAACAACATTCTAGATTGTTCATCCAGACTTAACAAATATCAAAATGCTAAGCAAAGTAAATTAAATTCCTAAATAACACCTTCTAATCACTACTGTACATACACAGTGGGAAAAGCAGTGGTAAAGCATTTCTTTTAGAATGTTTTAAAGTGCAGGCCATTATCTTCAAGTAAGCTTGTTCATGTTGGTGTGTTAGACATCCTTTGCAAAATAGTGAAGCACTGGTCCCCCCGCTGCACCAGTAGAGGAATGACTAGTTCCCGGATCTTCATTACCTGCTAAGGGGCCAAGTAAGTCCTTCCAAGACAGTGGCAATTCTTAGAATGTACATGCACAGTTACAGTCATCTGGGGCGCTTTACAAGCGAAATAAAAATCTTTATGGCCCTTTGGTCTTCAGTGTTAAACAGCAGAGGTTTTCAGGAAGGCAACTGTCAATTTGGGCACACAGGTTCTACACAGATCTCCTTTAAGCAGCAATGCTCTCTTCTAGATCTGGATCTGCAACTCTTAGGTTCAGCCCTCAAAGAGGTCAGTAAAGAAAGACCCCCTAACAGGCAGGTTTCACATTAACTCTTTTAAAGCAGGATAATGAGGAACATCTGAAAAAGACAGATAGTTTTCCAACACAGACATTTCCTTTATTCAGGTATTGTAAGTTAATAACTTTCTAAAGAGGTACAACAGCTACACTACAATACTTAAACTGATGGTGGCATAACAAGCAAAACTCAAGCTTACAGTTTGTGAAAATAACTATAAAACAAAGAGCTGTGAATTCAATTTTTAAATAAATTAAGTACAGGTTTTTTATGCAGAAGCAACCTCTGAAATATTCCTACCCCAAATACTGCTTTCTCTGGGGAAAAAAAAATTTAAAAAGTCAAGCTGATTTCTATACACTAAGTGTAAAGAAATACAAACATTAATTTTCAGAAGTTTAAAGCCCCTTAATGTTATAATCTCAGTATTCACGAATCTCCAAATCACCGATTGCCTGATCATTAATTCTTCATAGTACAAACTAATAAGCCATTTAAGCACATTCCATTTCTAATTATCCGATGTTAAGAGACTTCAGAAATATAACTCAGTAACTAGAAGTTATCACTTTTCACCTAAAGAACATAAGCATACTACATATATTTAAGTGATAAATACTATTTAAAAAAATGAATTGGTTTCAGATTCATCTCTTGAGAAGCAACTGAGATCAGAACTACAAGTAGTAGTTACACTTTCTATGTTGAGGTTCAGTTTCCATTCTCCACCAGAAAGAATAATGATACAATTAGGCATTCCTGATAAGCTATCCTCTAAACTTGGAAATGAAAATGTAAGAGCATCCAACTTTTTTTCAGTCTTACTACACATCAATCATCATGATTCAGCCAGCTAAGTATCATTTCAGAAATTACTTCTTAGCTCCAGACGCGTATCATCTTCACTGATTTCACTGAAATACATTATAGGATTTTTGCCACAGCGTGTGGCACAGGTATGTATAAAAAGGCTGATTTGACTTCAGTTCAGGAACATGCTCCATATATACAAAGCCATCATTCCAGCTTCAGTGACATGGGGAAAACCAAAACAGTGCTGAAGTAATTATATGCAAATTTTGGGCTTGAATCTAATCTTTACAACTTTTGTCTAAACAATCCTATCTGTGGCAGTACTTAAAAATATTATTTACTACTACATGCACTTATCAGTCTCAGAGTTTTTTTGCACAATGTAGAGTCCAAACTACTTTCTCTGTAGTAGCTGAAAGCCAGAAAAAGATATTTGTTAATGTGACACACACTTAACACTGTTCAAGCTGGCAGAAACTTCAGTGAAATTTCAAAAAGCAGCTCTAAGACAGCATATGATTCAAGACAACACTCTAATTGCAATCTGTAGTTTACTTCTCTGAACATATTTTTAATACTTATTTTTACAATTGTCAGAAGTGTCATACAGAATACATTAAAGCAAACATTCAGAAAAAAATGTACAAGCATGTGTGTGGCTGATATGCATATGCAAATGCTAGTTGCATGAAAACTGACAGAACTGAGCACAAATGAGAGCTCTGCACTGGTATCCACAAATAACTTTACTTGTATGAGTCATTCCATTCCATCTGACTGTGACATAATGGTTTATAAACTGCTGTTTTATATATGGGCAACAGCTCCTATGTTTTTCCTCAACATTTGGACCTATTTTGATTTGCTAAATCAACATTCCAGAAATTTATAAGGAAAATTTCTATTCCATTCCCATTTGTCCTTTCCAGCCTGCTTCAAAAACCACCAAATTAGTCATATACACAAAAGGAAGACTAGTTAAACCGAATTAAAGATTTGATTATAAAAACATATTTTGGTATGTCCTTGAGTGCAAAAAAGCCTGTACATTTATTTAACAATTGTGTAAATCAAAAAACAGTAAATGGCTTGCTTAAAGTGCTCTACTGCTAAGACTTTATAGACCAAGTTTATCCCTAAATGAATACCCCAAAAAATCCCCGAAAGCTTACAATGCTAACACTAACATCCTTATGGACCAAGGTGCTAGTAGGCACTCTTATACTATATTACTCATTAATTAAGAGAGTCAGACTCCAATCTCACTTACAGTTAATGCAAATTTACACTGATGTAACTGAGAGCAGAATCCATCTCCTGGTATATACCATCCTCAAATGATATAAAGGAGTCACAAAAACAGAAGCTCCCTTTTGTATAAATAGGTCATAAATAAAATACATATAGATACAAATATCCACTACAACAGCAGCTTAATGGTCTAATATTTCAGCTCTTGCTTCTATACTACTTGCTAAAAACACATCTTAAGCAAGCAGAGTACATCTTAACAGTGCTGCATTAGCTACTTGTGATGCTACACACCCCAGAAACAATTTATGCACATTTTGAAGCCTTTAGTAGATCTTTAGAAATGAAAGTAGGTAGAAATTTTTTATGCAAAAAAGAATAAATAAATAAAAATTATTAAATATCCAATGTTTGGTACAAATGCTTCATATTAAGTTATTTTTATACATTTGTTTAGAAAAATACACTAAATATTTCTACTTTCATTGGCTAAAAATAAGGACCGGATTATGTATATCCTTAGGTTTTTAAAGAAGGCAATGTCAATTACTGTCAAGCTGCTAGAGTAGACCCATTAGTGCCCATTCCCACAGCCCTTACACAGGCAAAAAAGCCATTGCAGGTCTAATCACAGCTCCTGGTGGATGACCTGGTACAAATGACCAAGAGGCCCATGGCACAAGATGCATTTTGTCCAAAAAAATGAAGCCTTTTTGCTAAAGTTTATAACCTGCAGGTATACTAATGTATCAGTCAGACCCTCACACTTTTTAAAAAGAGCTACATTTACAAATGTGGATGCTTATCTGTTAAGCCATCATTTGTTCCAAAAAATGAACATTCAAACTCTGAAATATTAGGAAAATACTCTTGCAAATAAACTATATAAAGATAAAATACACTTCAAAGATAGTTTTTAGGTTTTCTATAAAGTGCAGAGAAATCCTTCTAAAAAGGGAAATGACTATTTCCTATAACAACAGTATAATTACAGCAGCCTTTGCATAGCGTTATTTATAGAAAATTGAATACTTTCAGTTTCTTCAAGAAGAAAAGGATGAAAGAGTCTCTTCCAGTTCAGATCTTTCCTTTGATACCGATCTATTTTCTTCAGGAATGGCTGACGATACCAGATCTCCATTGACAGCACTTCTAGAACAGTGAGCAGATCCTATGAAGATATCAGTAAGTACTTAATTTTCAAGCCTAAAAATACTCATCCAATCTGTCAGTTATTCTATTTACTAACTATTTCCTATACATAACCAATCAGAAGTATAATTACTCTGGACTTTTCCTGAAAGATTTCAATCAATATCATGCCCAAGGATGATGGATATGAGGAATGTTCAGCTAGTGTAAATGAAAGATTTTTTTTTTTTTTTTATACACAATGATTCTATGATTTTTACATTATGAAGGACAGTAATCTGTGAGATGCAGACATATTCGGTATGAAGAACATATGAACTTTTAAAAAAAATAAAAATAACTGATGCATCGATAAACATTTAATTAAAACATTTTCTATTATTAAAATGAAATGGATGAGTTACTGCAAGTTTAGTATTGCTACGCTACCTGGCAGGAAAAAGAAAGAACTAAGATAACTAGAAGGTAGTAGAGGGAGCTTCTAACACAGTAAAAGCAAAACAAAAAAAACCAAGACAGACTCCTCAGCAGTCCTGAAAAGAGTCAGACTGGGTAACCAACACCAGAAGGTCCAGATGGCAACAACAAAAGCCTTGCATTATAGGAAGCTAGACTGACATACACCTACATTTGCAACAAGACACTGAATAGGATCTAAACTAAGTTTATTAGCTAGGGATACAGGCTGGCATACCCTATGCTGGTAGCAGGTGAGTGAGGTGAAAGAGGTGCTCGCCCTGCAAAACGTGAGCATCAGAGAACCTAGGAAATGGTGTGGAGGTGCACATACTTGCTTCATGATAGCACGTAAGGCACGTAGCACAAAAGACCTCTTTGTGCTCACATGGGCTTTCAGCAATGCATAGGTCTCAGGTTTTTTCAACCTGAGTGAGGCACTAGGCACTCCGAAAGGAACCAAGATTAAACTGGAACTAGTCAAGTTAAAGTCTCCTGAGAGGAGTTAGGATGGAGTCAAAATTACAGCAAGATTCAAAAGGAAACAACACAGAAGCACTGGCTACTAACTCAGTAGGCCCATCTAATCAGGAAGAAATAATACTCTGATCATGACATCATTTCATAATTTTTTTGGGTTGTTTTTATTTATTAATGGCAAGGCTGTGCTCTTTCAGAACAGTGCTGTTCTCTACAAAAGACAAGCAGCCACTGAAATGAACCATCTTTCTACAATGCACTGGGTGGAAATTACACACTGCCATTCACAGGGGTCACAGTAAGGAGAATTTGTTTTGTGACAAGTAGGTGGCCAACAACAGTATCCCACACCACTTACCAGAACACCATTCATGTAAGATTCTGTTAGTATAAACATCCCTTTTCTGGTAATGTCTCTCTTTTATCTTGCCATTAGTCCCACTGATTTCAATAAAACTACCGCAGCTGCAAGATCCTTTTCAGTATGAATGAAAGCCAGCAAAAGTCAGCCACATCACAAACTACACAAGTGCTTTGATACAGGAATCTTACAACCAAGACTTTGCATAACT